ATCATGATGTTGCTTATTGGTCCAGTTGTGAGGATTTTTGTTTTCTTTATGTTGAGGTGTAATCCATACTGAAGGCTGTAGTCTTCGATCTTCATCAGTAAAGTGCTTCAAGTCCTCTTTGCTTTTATAAGGTGTACTAATTCTGAAGCATGTAAAATTTTTAAGTGTAACTTTCAGAAATTAGATTCCTTCTCTTGAGAAGAAATCAGTTGATGTTCACAATACTGAGTCTTTACTGTATTTGCCTAAATTTAATTTAAAACTCAAAATCATTAGTATCTGACCTACTATAAACTTCAATAGAAATAAATGTTTATTGCCTTCATTGTTTTGGCAAAAGTTAGGCAGATTTTTTGGGTAGTATTTTAGATCGTAGTGGTAATAAGAACAATAAGCTAAATGTCTCTGTGTCAGGTACTTTATTAGGTACATTACATATATTACATATTCATGAACTTCAGTAATGATCTGAAATTGTGGATTAATATCAATTAAAGTACTAAATGACAATGTTACTGTGTGCTGAAATTTTTCAAAATGACTTCAGCAAGCACTCTCCTAGGTACCCTACATAGCATTTAGATAGAATATGCCCTGGGAGTTTATATCAGGTATTATTCTACTAATCAGAAAAGTAACAGACATACACTGAAAAAAAAAAAATGTATATAATTTGTTTTATTTTAGGCTCTTTACAGCTTCCTAGAGCCCAGTCTTTTGTCTAATGAATATTAGCCTTGGCTATCATAACATCCCCTACAGGAAGAATTTCAAACTTTCAAAGCCTTCCTGGTAAAGTTTCAAAGCCCAGGCTACTAGAGTAAACTTTCTAATCTAGCTTCAGAAATAAAAGAAAATATCTGAAAAGCAAGATCCTTTTGTGAAACATGGCCTCATTTTGTTTACAAATGATGGTTTACTCTTTTTACAGATGTGTCTTGCTGAATCAGGCCTCTCTTATCCCTGCCATCGACTTACAGTGGGAAGAAGGTCTTCACCTGCACAAACCCGGGAGCAGTCCGAGGAGGTAAGACTATTTGCCAGCTTTTCATTGAACAGAAGGCCTGTCCTCCACCCACCTGCCCACTTCCTGTTCTTTTTTTATCTGCCACAGCAATGAATAGATAAAAGTAAATGTAGCGTAAATAAAGTCTCAGTAAATTCTTGAAGGCAGAAACTTTCCATGCAAGGATGTTGCTAATGTACTCCTTCTTGTTCTTTTAGTTTCATGTTGCAGCAGACAGAGTTCAGGTGGATTGGTTGAAATTTTTGCTTAGAACTGTCAAGTTAACAGAGAGATTTTCTTTGTTGTTGTCTGTGTAGTTGAGTGCAGTTATTAGGATTGATCGTGAAGGTTCTCTAACTGTGAACCAGGCATTGTGCTTTATATTAGATAACAAAGATGAATAATATTGTACCTATATCAAGGTGCTCAGAATCAAGTAAGAGAGGAATAAACTAATACTGATAGCGTAACATAGTAAATGAAGTTACAACAGCATGCCCAGGGTGCTATAGCAGCAGAGAGGGGCAAATAAGATTGCACATGTATGTATGTGTGATATGTCTATGTGGGCCGAATGGTGTTAAAAGGGAGTATCTTAATTCTGTTCCCTGGCTACAAATAGCACTTCTGTGCCCAATTCTGACCTTAGTTATAATGGAAAGGGAAGGAGAATGTGGGTATCACAATTTATTCATTTAAAAAGTATTAATTGAGCTACTACTGTGTGCTAGAAGTCTTCACCATGGTTTTAAAAGTTTATGCAACAGAGGTGATAAATAAATAGTAGAGAAAGTCTTTTAAACACTAGTGTTTTTCAGAATAGAGTATGGTCCAAGTATTTGAAAATTTGGGATAGTCCAGTAAAACTTTTTTCATTTACATTCTATTCAAAATCTGGTTGCACTCTTTTATTTAAACTGACTATGTATTTTGGACACTTGTTATGAAAGCTGCCACTAGATCTCTCCAGCCATCCTCTGAATACGTATTATATCATTTACGTATGTGAAAAAGACACAGGAATACATAATTGAAGTCCTACCCTATGATAATCTGGTGAAAATGATAATTTGCCACTCTAGATTTTTAACATTTTTTTTAGAAATCCACAGAGAAGGAAGCTTTTTCCCCTGCTACATCCAAAATACTACTGTACTGTTTTCTTGGGCCTCTAAAAATGTTAATTTCCTTTAAAGATCCCACACCATTTTTCCTGCGTTTTATCTCCCTAATCCTCATGAAAGAAAAATGATGTTGAGTTTCACTGCTTGGCAGAAATTGTTAGGAATAATTTATTGAAAAATTTCCTTCTGGTGCTTGAATATATTTTTAACAGCTAAAGTAGGTCATGCTTCAACTCCTTAATGAATAAATTCACTAACATCGAAAGGTGGCCAACTAGCTCCACCCCAAATTCTTAATTATTCTATACCCCAAGAGGTGATAGGTACCTATTACACATCATTTTATTTTCTTCTCTCACCCTCACCATTGTATGTATTATTTGGGCAGTACCTTCAACAGAAAGAAGTCAGTGCCATATGGTCAAGAGCAGTGTTTTGTGACACTGGCACACTTTTTAGGTTAATTAGAGAAGCCAATACAGTGGGGTTAGGATTCTTTGCCAAACTAAAACAGCTACAACTTTGGGAGTATCTTAAAATCTGATTATCTGGGATGAATCCATTCATTTTTTTCTTCCCTGGCTAACTGTAAATACCACCTCCTCCAGGGGGCTGGTGAGAAGTAGGAAAGAAGCTGTGACTTGGTTTTTATGTAGAATTATAAAGCTGGAAGGGATTTTTAGATCATTTTGCCCAACCTACCCTTTCATCCACCCACTCTTCCATCCATTCATTCCTCATACATAGAAGCATTTATTTAATATCTTCTATGAGCCAAACATACGTTGTTATTAGTTGCCATTAAGTCGGCTCTGATTCATGGCAACCTTATGCATAACAACAAAACGTCACCTGGTCCTGTGCCATCATCATGATAATTGGTATGTTTGAGTCCCTTGCTGTGGCTATTATATCGCTACACCACATAGAGGGTTTCCCTCATTTTCACTGGCCCTCTGCTTTATCAAACGTGATGTCCTTTTCTAGCAATTTGTCTTTCCTGATAACATCTCCGGAGTAAGAGAGTCAATATCTTGCCATCCTCACTTCTAAGGAACACTCTGGTTGTATTTCTCCTAAGACTGATTTGTTCATTTTTTTCTGGCAATCCATGGTATATTCAATATTCTTGACCAATGCCACAGTTCAAATGTATCAATTCTTCTGTCTTCCTTTTTCATTATCTAACTTTTGCATGCATGTGAGGCAATTGAAAAGACCATGGATTGGATCAGACACATCTTAGTCATCAAAGTGACATCTGTGCTTTTTAAAACTTTAAAAAGGTAGGTCTTTTGCGGTAGATTTGCCCAGTGCAGTGTCTCATTTGATTTCTTGACTGATGCCTCCATAGATGTTGATTGTTGATCCAAGTAGAATGAGATCGCTGACAACTTCAATTTCTTCTCCATTTATTATTATGTTGTTTGTCAGTCCAGTTGTGAGTTTTGTTTTGTTTTTTTCACATTTAGGTGTAATCTGTACTGAAGGCTGTAGTCTTTGACCTTTATCAGATTGTGTCATCTGCATATCACAGGTTGTTAATGAGTCTTTCTCCAGTCCTGATGCTGATGGTTCTTCTTCTTAGATTATTTGTTCCACATAGAAATTGAATAAGTAAGGTGAACGAATACTACCCTGCTACAGGCTTTTTCCTATTTTGAACCACACAATATCCCCATGTTCTATTTGAATAACTGCCTCGTGATCCATGTACAGGTTCCGCATGGGTACAATTAAGTATTCTGAAATTCTCATTCTTTGCAAAATTATCCATAATTTGTTATGAGCCACACAGTTAAATGCCTTCACATAGTCAGTAAAACACAGGTAAACATTTTTTCTGGTATTCTCTGCTTTTGGCCAAGGTCCGTTTGGCTATAGCAGTGATATCCCTGTCTGTTTCTGAATCCAGCTTGAACTTCTAGCAGTTCCCTGTCAATATATGACTGCAATTGCTTTGGGATTTTCTACAACAGAATTTTGCTAGCATGTGATAACGTAAGATGCAGTCTTTATGCTGAAAGAACTCACTATTACAAGAATCTTATCAAAATATGTGTGTTTTATCTTCAGTGACGGACGGTTCTGTACCTCATGAGACAACCATTTCGATTGTTTGGCAGCTCTGTTTCTTGGTATCTTTCCTATGTTAAACTGAAATCTCTGCTCAGAGCTTCCAACCAGTGCTTCTACTTATTTCTTCTGGTTCTAACCCTTCTCCATTTCCAGATAGTTACCATATTGCTATTGACTATTTTAAGCCTTGAGTTAGAACAGAGATATTTGAGACGAGTAGTTAAATTTAAGTTTGCATTTTATGGATTATACTTAATGTGTCCCTTAGCTGGAGAGTTTTGTTTTTTACATTCCCCTTCCGGCCCTGAAAACAAATTTTCTTTATGGTAATTCAGCATTTTCTCTTTCCTTCCCTTCCTGTTCTTAATAATCTTCCTACATCTCTGGGTACCTAGCTAGATACCTCTCTCTTCTCTTCTCAGCTGCCTGGTTAGAATGTTGTTAAGTACCCCATGGACCCTGGCTCCTTGAGAATTGCCCAGTCCTCAGCTGATAGTGGAGAAAGAGGGATACCCAAAAAATAACGACGACAACAACATTTCAAAGTAATGAATGTTAAAACCATTAGTTTATAACTTCAGTTAAGAAATCGCTTATTGAATGCTCACTATGTGCTGACAGATGACTATAAACCTACAATTTCTTATATGATTAATGAGAAACTGAGGCAAGCAGGAGATGCTAGGGGAGCACAGATATGAGGAGTGTAACTTTCAAGAATGATTGCAGGTAAGAGCTTTGTCTCCCTTGTTCACCTGTGTAACCTAACACCTAGCATAGTTCCTGGCACACACCAATCACTGAATAAATATTTGTAATTGAATGGGAAAAAAGGAAGAAAGACTAGAAGAGTGGACAGACAAATTGAAATATAAAGAATTAGTCACAGTTGGCCAAATGACTAACGTGGAAATGGTATTCCATTCAGAGGAAACAGCATGATCTGATATGGTATATGAAGAGAGATAAGTATAGTTTTCTGTTTGTGCAGAAAAAAGTAGGAGACAAAGAGTGGTAAGAGATGAGACAAAGGTGAATTTAAACTCTGGGGTGCCGTAGAAGGCTACTGATTTTTTTTTTTTTTTTCCAAATATACATTTTATAGAATGCACTCTAGCTGCTAGATTTAAGGCAGCAAGACTGGAGCTGGAGAAATCAGTTATGAGTCTATGGTTCTAACACTAGAGCTAATGAGATCCGAAACTATTCAACATTGTCAGTAAAAGGAAAGAAGGGCATGAATTCAGGAAATATTTTGGTGGAAAAATCAGTAGGAGTAGTGACCGATAGGATGTGTGGGGGATGAAAGAGAAGGAGGAAATAAGGATGATGCCTAGGTTTTGACTTGAGTGACAGAATATTCATTCAGTATTCATTCATTAAATTCTCATTGCATTCCTACTACACTCCAGGTACTGGTGCGGGCACTGGAAATACGGTTGTTAACAAAGCAAAGTCTTGCCTTAAAGTAGCTTGTACCTAACAAAATGAAATCGGGTGGGAGTAATTGCAAAAAATCTGTATTTCAGTTTGTAAAACTTAGCAAGAGAAGTATAGGATGGGCAACAGGAACTGACAGTATGTGGCATTACACTACAGGCAGACAAGCTAACTAGTAATCCAGTTGCTTCCTGAACATCTCCACCTGAATGCCGTAGCTCAGGTTCATTTACTATGTACAAAACTGAATTTACCATGTTCCCCACAAAACCCTTCTCCTCGCTGATACTAGTGACTGTCAACCCAAGCTAAACACTGTTTATTTCAGTCACTAAGAAACCTATTAAAAGGAGCCCTGGTGGTGCAGTTGTTAAACAT